TGTTTATTAGGCATATTTCTGCGAGCAATTGCCAACGGAATAATTTTTCCACAGATCTTCCGTCGGCCGCATAATTTTGGACATCAACGACCGAAAAATCCATGGCTAATTCCGCAACATGAGTTTAGTGGTTGAACTTACTGAATTCACGGTGTCGAAATAAGCCTTTGAGGCAGTTTCTGGAGACCAAACTAGCTTCATCTTGTTCTTGATCCTTGTTTCGTGTTCTTCAAGTTATGCTTTTCTTCAGAGGTGAAATGCCAAATGATGCAATGGAATGCGTATTTAAATGGGACAAACACGTATTAGAGAAGTTGTTGTCAATCCGTTGACATTCATCCACCTAAATCCAACGTAGGGAGATACGTGTATTTGAATTTTCGGTTTGATTAATTAAACACAAGAATTTAGTTATTTGTTAAGAGTCTTATTGAATACAGTATTGGACCAAAACCCCCCAAGTTTGAACAATCTAAACTAGATGATAGACTTCAATTCAAATTCTAGATTAAATTATATAATACAAAATAAATTATAAACTACTGAGGTTTTATGAAAATTTTAAAAATAAACTAACAAAAGTTGATGAAAATTTTATGAAATGTGTGATTAAATTTTTTTTTTTAAGAATAATTATATAATGGTTCCCAGACACAGTCATAGTCTCACTGGGAATGCAACTCCAGCTTAGGTGACACTAAATGATAGAATAAATGAAAGATGAAATTAAACCCCAGTTTGGCTAAATAACACTATTCATTTTTTAAGCTTTCTCAAACAAATACTATGCCCCCGTCTGGTAGGGATTCATAAACCTCCTCATTTATCACTAATCTTCATTTAGGAGCCTCAACTCACTGGACGACGGAATTTATTCCCCAACATTTCGCTAACCGATCTTGATTCTTATTATTTTGAGATCATATTTAGTATTTCTATTGATTTTAGAAATTGTGATTTATTCCCATCAACTATCAGAGAACCCATTAGTTTTAGATTTGAGTCGTATTTATTCATTGTCGTCGATATTGGCAAAATAGGAAAGTTAAACAAATTTTAAATTAAGGATCTGTTTGATACAGATTTTGTGAAAGTTGAATTTGTTGGAATGAGTGATTAAAAAGTAAAAAAAAAAAAATTTATGATTTTAGATATAAAATTATTTTAAATTGATAGAATATGTGATTAAAAATGAGTTCCAAAAAAAATTAATTTTAAAAAAATCATACCAAAAATCATACCAGTATTTTTATTTAGATAAGGGAATATGTGCAGTAGGTTTACCGTTAGCCACAGGATTTGGATACTTCCAGAAGGGGCGGAATTGATCAAACAGACCGTGTGGGCCCAGCTGAGAACCAGGCGATCGTGTCCGTCTGAACTCATTGACTGTACGAACAGGAAGTAATTTCTATATTATTACCTGCTCACGTCAGATGCACGTTTCAAACATGGACCGAGTCTACAATCGTGATTATACGGCCAGATACATCATGAAATGCCACGAGTTCAAATTAGGAAAAATACATAGGCCGGTTTGAGCTAGAGGTGTCAAGATGAACGGGCCGATCATGACCCGTAAAAATCGACCCGTGAAAATCGGGACCGCGAGCCGACCTGTGATCCATGCGGACGGTTCACGGGTCAAGGAGGTGTAACCCGCGGGTTTCGCGGGTTGCACCCCCACGGGCCGCGGTTAACCCGCGACCCGTAAAAAAAAATTGAAAAAAAAAATAAAACAAAAATTAAAAAAAAGGGGGGGAGAGAGACAAACAAAAAAATTTGAAAAAATAA